GCAGAGCACTCAGGCCACATCACAAATGGCAAGCAGAATCTATCTCAAACTCTGTCAACTGCACGTAATGTTTTTGACTATACGTCCGGCATTCAAAGACTCCAACAACAGATATGCTGAAAATTCTGAAGATAGCATCTGCAAGCCATTTTATAGGATGCTGGGGTAGCAATTTTAAGGCAATCTGGTGTGTTAATTTCACTATAACCATAATCATTTACATATCTACCTGCCAAGTTTTTCAGTAATTGGACAAAAAAGTTGTTGACAACTCAATCTGGGTGCATAAGTGTATATAAAAAAGAATTCAAACTGATCTAAGAGAATGAAAAGCAAATGCAACACAAAAGTTTAAGAAATAACAAATTACAGAAAATCAAATCTAAAAAATAATTTCACATATCATGGACTAAGAGAGGAAATGTATTCTTATAAATCAAAATTTTTAGTTTAAAAAAATTGTAATTGTTTTCTCCTCTTAGCAATGGCAATAAAATGGTATGTTACTTAATGCATAATATCAATATTTATATTTTATTTCTATTAAAAATTAGGTCCAGGTGTTGAGGCAGTCATTAGATTTAATAGCATATAGATTATCATCCTTACACCAAGGAGTTATTTATCTTCAAGAAACAGTAATAGTAAATAGTTCATTGTCAATTAAATACAGGTTAGTTTTGAAATGTAACACCAACATTATGTATTTGCAGTGAATTTTTATTAAATTGCTACTGTGTGTAGACATTCAATATATATTGAATAATACAAATCTGCCTGTTTGAAATTACAAAGTTATTAAATCAAAAATATCATAGAATATGTTATGTAATTTTGGAATGAGAATTTCAGTACAGTATTGGGAAAACTAGTCTTAATAATTTAATATTGGATTGTTATTTTTCAATTTTTGCAACTTTCTCTATATTCTAAGTTAAATAGAATCTAATGTAATTAGCTAACTTTTACAGTAACCATTCTCAGTGCTTACGGTGCAATGTCAGAATAGTTGCAAAAGATTAACCATTCTGACATTGCACCGTAAGCACTGAGAATGTTAAAAAAGTTTCAGTAATAAAGAAGTAATAAGTAAAAGGACAGAGTTGCAAAAGATTAACCCTGTCCTTTTGACTGGCAACCTGAGATCATTTGATATTATTTTGGTAATCAATAAGAATTTTTAAATATTTTTCCTTCTTGCATTGCTAAAAAATATACAATTTTTTAGTAAAAGAAAATTACAATTGATATCAATACTTGATTCATCATGATTTTAAGTTTTTATTAACAAAGTTGTTCTCATAAATTTTTGTTTATTATTGTTCAATAAATTATTAAAAAGTTTCGTAAAATATAACTGAAACTTTTTAAAATTAATTTAAAAATCAGTATTGAATAAAATCATAAATCTACATATAATATATTCCAGACTTACAGTGTTTGAAAAATGTCATAAAAACACACACAATTGAACCTTAATTAAAAGTAAAATTCCAGGAAAATTTAATGCACATAAAACACAAATATTTTCATTCTACATAGGAGATCTTCAGGTTAAAGTGTTCCCAAATGGAATGCGAAAAATGGAACATTCTTAAGATTATTTGAAAAATCATATAAGAAAAAAAATTTTTTTGTATGTTGACTGTTCCTGTTGGTATAAAGATTGCCAGGCATAAGATAATTGTTCTTCATTTTTAAAATTGATGCAATTACCCCTGGGCCATATTTTTATTTATAAATAATTATTTTTGAAGAGAGTATTCATATTTATATTAATTGTCAAAATATTGTCTTAATATGTAAATAAATCACACCACCAACATCAATAACCAGCAAAAAGAACAAGTTTTCATCCCGGAGAGTGTTACTTGGGTTGGCCTAATTCCCTGCAACAGTATTTAGCACAACTGCGTGCGCTCAGTCTGTAATCTAAAAATGTTCTATTCTAAAAAGATTTACCATTTTAATTTTTTGTTCTTCTGTTATATGATCTATCAGTTAAACTGTATGATGTCCATTATATACGGTAAGACTGTTCTTTTTTGCCGGTTATTGATGTCAGTGGTGTGATGCATTCGTATTTTGTTAACTTTTTAAAATCATTTCTAATATTTCTGCTATTTACTATATCAAACATCCCTATTATTGTTATAAAATAATTTTTCCCCCATATTATTCATTTACTGATAATCATTCAGAAATATTTTATTTATCTTAGGTATGGATTTTTAACAAATTTATCAGTATCCCGTAATAGCTTATGAACTGTGNTATTAAATTGCTACTGTGTGTAGACATTCAATATATATTGAATAATACAAATCTGCCTGTTTGAAATTACAAAGTTATTAAATCAAAAATATCATAGAATATGTTATGTAATTTTGGAATGAGAATTTCAGTACAGTATTGGGAAAACTAGTCTTAATAATTTAATATTGGATTGTTATTTTTCAATTTTTGCAACTTTCTCTATATTCTAAGTTAAATAGAATCTAATGTAATTAGCTAACTTTTACAGTAACCATTCTCAGTGCTTACGGTGCAATGTCAGAATAGTTGCAAAAGATTAACCATTCTGACATTGCACCGTAAGCACTGAGAATGTTAAAAAAGTTTCAGTAATAAAGAAGTAATAAGTAAAAGGACAGAGTTGCAAAAGATTAACCCTGTCCTTTTGACTGGCAACCTGAGATCATTTGATATTATTTTGGTAATCAATAAGAATTTTTAAATATTTTTCCTTCTTGCATTGCTAAAAAATATACAATTTTTTAGTAAAAGAAAATTACAATTGATATCAATACTTGATTCATCATGATTTTAAGTTTTTATTAACAAAGTTGTTCTCATAAATTTTTGTTTATTATTGTTCAATAAATTATTAAAAAGTTTCGTAAAATATAACTGAAACTTTTTAAAATTAATTTAAAAATCAGTATTGAATAAAATCATAAATCTACATATAATATATTCCAGACTTACAGTGTTTGAAAAATGTCATAAAAACACACACAATTGAACCTTAATTAAAAGTAAAATTCCAGGAAAATTTAATGCACATAAAACACAAATATTTTCATTCTACATAGGAGATCTTCAGGTTAAAGTGTTCCCAAATGGAATGCGAAAAATGGAACATTCTTAAGATTATTTGAAAAATCATATAAGAAAAAAAATTTTTTTGTATGTTGACTGTTCCTGTTGGTATAAAGATTGCCAGGCATAAGATAATTGTTCTTCATTTTTAAAATTGATGCAATTACCCCTGGGCCATATTTTTATTTATAAATAATTATTTTTGAAGAGAGTATTCATATTTATATTAATTGTCAAAATATTGGCTTAATATGTAAATAAATCACACCACCAACATCAATAACCAGCAAAAAGAACAAGTTTTCATCCCGGAGAGTGTTACTTGGGTTGGCCTAATTCCCTGCAACAGTATTTCGCACAACTGTGTGCGCTCAGTTTGTAATCTAAAAATGTTCTATTCTAAAAAGATTTACCATTTTAATTTTTTGTTCTTCTGTTATATGATCTATCAGTTAAACTGTATGATGTCCATTATATACGGTAAGACTGTTCTTTTTTGCCGGTTATTGATGTCAGTGGTGTGATGCATTCGTATTTTGTTAATTTTTTAAAATCATTTCTAATATTTCTGCTATTTACTATATCAAACATCCCTATTATTGTTATAAAATAATTTTTTCTCCATATTATTCATTTACTGATAAATAAAACATTTCTGAATGATTATCTTAGGTATGGATTTTTAACAAATTTATCAGTATCCCATAATAGCTTCTGAACTGTGAAGGATCAAAAGTGCATCACAGTAGTAAAAGTCAAATAATGCAATTGCACTCGTTCACCGTGCAAGAACTATCCAACGTGCCGAATATTGGTTTTTGTTGGGGGATCGTAACATAGCACACAACTTAAAAACACTTATTATGCTAAAGAACTAAAACAGTTTGTAATAATCAGCTTTGTTACAATCTTCATGGGAAGATATAAAATATAGATGGATATTTTAAATATTTAAATGTAAAAAATCATATGTACTTTCTTTTCATTCTGAAACTTTGCAATCTTGTAATTTATTCTAACATAATAGCCATCCTTTAATGTAATACTTCCATTACTTTTTTTAATTACTGTATTTGTTTGATTCTAAGATGCAGTTTTTTTTAAACCAAACTAAATATAATTGCTTACTGGATAACTTTTTTATTTGCATAAAATAAATAAGATTTTCCTTTCTATTGAATATATTATTGCAAAATATAATGATAATTCTGTACAGTTGACCTCACTATAACCCTGTTGATAATTCCGTTTTATACGAATTCCATGTTGTACGAGTCACTTAGATTTTACAAATACGTGAGCCATTCACGGCCTGGCACACGTATAACACAGAATTATCTACAGTGTTATGGGGGTCAACTGTATTAGTCTTCTGTATGAAATCATTGAAATGTTACATTATCAATATCTGTGCTAAATTTCTTGATAATTATCAAACTGTAAATTAATTCTCACTTAAACAAATTTTTTGTGCTGAAAACTTTAAGATGTCTTTTTTATAATTAAATGAAAAGTAACAATAGATATAAAACTAATTCTTTGTAAAGTTGCTCATATTTTGAATTTTAAGTAAAGGAAGGTATAAAAAATTTTGGGTTAAGATATGTAATTTTCTCACATTGCTCAATTATGCTTTCTACTTTTAAATTTCTTTCCACATCACTATGGTATGGTACACACATAATAACTTGCCAAATATGCAAATAGATTGACGCCCGCACAAAGGATAAATATATCAGTTTATCACGGGTCATATTTTATGTTACTTTTCTGTTAGGTATCACCACGCAAATAGAAATCTTTTAAACATTTTGTATTAATCATTAGCATTGTTTCCGAAAGCGTACGGATATATTTTTTGAGAATTTTTTAAAAACAAATTATTGTATATTACTCACTGTTCATATTCAATCTGGAATTCGGCAGCCAGTCCAGAGTCCAATAATAATCTACAAAAAGACGATAACTTAATTAAGCGCTATTTTGTTATAAATAGAAAAATTTTCTAAAATATCTAATAAAATGCACATATTTTAAGTTTGTAACTTGTCTATATACATAAACAATAAACAAAACAACAAAGGTCGTCAGTAATTTCAGTGATTTGTCAACTGTTTTGAAAACTTAACAGCCGGAAAAAAGGTTTAGGTTAAATTAATATTGCAAATTATCTGATTTATCACAAAAAATGTAATTTGAAGCTAGTCTACACCATCCGATTGCAAAATTTTCTGTCTGCTGGACTTATGCAATAGAAAAAGCACTAAACCATTTTTCTACTTTGTACAATTTTCCTTGACAAAATCTTAGTCCATCTTTTGTTACGTCACGTATCATCAATTGGAACAAAACCTTATTTTACGGTCATTTACAAGACGAAGATCAGCAATTGGCCATCCGTACAAGCCGTTAATGGATTCCGATTTCTTTTATTAATTATTTTGCCGATTATACTAAAAAAGTGCCCGGTTCCATCATTTGTTTTGATCGCAACTGAAAAATTTTCTCTTAAAGTAATCTTACCTCACCAAATGAAGGAAATTATTGGGCGTCTCTCCAAACTCGCAGTTGTGTTCGTCGAAATACGAAGACATTTCTTAAAAACCCGATGGAAACCAACAAATAATTCCTAATACCCGCTGTATGATACTGCAATATTTACCACGGGATTTAAATCGCTGTAAGCCAAGTGTTGCCAGCTGGGAGATTCTAACGGATTTCGTTGTCGGAAAATAGCCAAAAAATAAATTTTATTTATGAAAATAAGTACAAGAATGTTTTATATAAAAGTGGCACGAACATTGTGTAACTATCGAATTTCGAGTGACGTACGCTGCAGTTTTTGATACAACAGCAATGTTTTTGTATAGTTTTTACTGCCGGGTTGTCATCTAATATCGACTGACGTCGCACGGAACGTCATCCTAGGTGGAAGACAAGTAAAAGCAAACATGGCTGCGCCCAACGAAGATTGCTTTAAAAATTGGAACCGTCTGGACTTGGTAGAAGGAGATTGTTTTTTACAAAATTTTTTAGATGTAAGTGAATAATAACTCGTGTAGTTTTATGCCCGATTTGGCGCCCATTTAGTCTGTTATCCCGTGCGTTATGGTCAAGCGTTGCACCAATTTTCTGCAACTCGACTAACTCTACGCTTGCGTGCTTTATCCTCTTCACTTTCCTCGTCGATTAAACCCGATTGCTGCTGAAATTCAAAATCAAACATATTTGAACTCTAGTTTAAAGCGTGTGTACGTGCCGCAATGACGAGTACGATTGTGGAACTGCAATTTCCGGATGAAGACGACAGGTTTTTACCAAATGTGCAATCTAACGATGCGTTCAGAGTTGTAAACCGGCTTAGGATAGGACACTCGGGCGATCTGTGACGTCACTGGTCGTGGAGCGTGTCACTTAAGGCGCTAGATTACCCAGGTATGCTCATACGCTTCCGTCACGTGTGCAGCCATATTGGTCCTTTTGACGTCATATTCTAAGATTTTTAAATTTAGCTGTATTTTATAACTAGTTGAACTAAATTTTGGCGAAGTTTATCATTTCGACCTTGCAAAATCTTAAGATACAGTTGAATTTATGATTATTTTCGTGTCTCTTCTATTGAACTTCTACGAGAGTCGTCTGCTTTCTAAGGACCAACATGGCGGATGAGCATACCTGGGTTATCTAGCGCCTTAGTGTCACTGGTTGAAAGTCAATATCTGTGAGCGGAAATGTTCGTTCTCTGAGCTAAAACGTGACAGACAACAGGCAGGTTGCTGGCTTTATTTTACTTTGCTCGAAAGGGCTTTAAATGAAAACAAAGGCCTAGTTCCGATGAGCTTACCCCAGCACAAAGTTTTTGTTCTGGGATAGTACTTGGCAGGATGTAGCTGTCATCCTCTGTGTCTCGTGTATCTACAGAATATGAGCCTGCATTTCCTCAAAACTATTGCATGTTGCAGCGCATTTCGAGAACGCGAAAATAGCGACCTCCGCCATCTTGGTCACGTGACACGGGGACGAGACCCAAAAGTGAGAGATCGGATCACGTCTGCATTACGTCATCGACTCATTCTCCGAATGCAGTGGAGAGTCTCAAGCTTTAATCTTGAAAGGGATGTTCCACGCTTCGAGTGACTCGGTCAAATGGTCTTCAACTCTGAACCCACCTTAAGTTCTGTTCGGAAATGCTTGCCGATCGGTTGGTTGGTAACGATGAATAATGCCATTAGTAGTTGATCTTTCATTCTCGAAGATCGATGAACTCGATAACAACGGGTAAATCACTAGAAACTTTATAGGTAAAGTTTTAAATGACCCCGTCTCAGCGGTCCAACTAATAAGCATTTCCAAAAGAACAGACCTAAGTAGTAATTTACGCACCAAGTTTTCAAAAATGTCGCGGCATGTTCGGAGTTTGTAAATTTTTCATTACATTATACACCGAAGAGACAAAACATTACGACCATTCGCCTAAACTATGACGCGGATCTTCCTCGAGTCGCCAAAATAGTTTTTATCGGGCGAAGAATGGACTCTACAATACATTCGTGTCTTCCTGGTATCTGATAATAAGACGTTATCGTTAGATGTTCGTATAAGTTCCGCGGTCGAAGCGCAGCAGATCGGATTTGCTTTTCCAACACTGACCACAGACACTCGATTGGGTAGAGATATTGGGAAATTGTATACTAGGACAATATCTGAAATTCTTCACGTTTCAGAAATCATTCTTAAACAATCTGAGCATGGCACATTATCCTGTCGGAAAAAGGCACTTTCGGAAGGGAACGCAGTTACCATAAATGGATGCGCTCGATTTACAGTGAGGTTCGGATAAGTGATTGATGTCAAAATTTACCCTACACGAATGACTGAACCCAGTGTTTTCCGGCAAAACACAGCACAAATCACTCACTCTCTCCCCCATCTTGTCGATCTTGAAAACGCAATTTGTCGGGTCAGCGAATTGAGACAATGCTTGAGTACTCGGAAGTGGCTTGTGGGTACGCAGCTCCATTCGCAAGAGGGTTCGACGTAGTATGTCGAGACACATTACCCTCAATACCGGCATCGGAAATGTAAACAGCGGATTGGCGACTCTGCCTTAGTGATGTTTTATTTATACTGTCTTCTGACACGGGCATTTGCCGTGTTTTGCTTTCATTTAATTAAGTAACATTGATGTAACGTAACGTCGCGGAGGCGGTCATTAGTGTGATAATGTTTTGGCTCTTTAGTGTAGGCCTATATAGAAATAAATTTCGTGTCGACTTTTTTTCTTGGCGTTCGATAGTTTTGACCGAAAATAAACTAGGAATAACAGATTCATTGTCCGCTTCTGTTGCACTGTATTGTAATTGTAGAGAATTCTTTCTATGTTTTAACTTACTTGTTAGTGTGACTCTTCGAATAGCAAAACGGAATCACTATCCCAATAAAGGATTCGCGTAGTTTTTGAGTTAAAAATGGGTACCTCGCGTCATACACTACGTAACAATGAACGGCTTGTCAAAATTTAACAATTCGTTCATTCCCGATTTTGTTCTAAATTTTAATCCGTTCGTTCCTAATTAAATTTTGTAAGATTCTAATTCATAATTTATCTTTCTAGATTTCGAGAAGGATGAATATTTTTTCGATGAAACTTTCGGCGAAGTTATCGATACGTAGGTAAATATACACGATTCCTTCTATTTTAATATTATATTATCGAATCGGTAACGTGCTTGCTAAAAGAAAGTCCTCTTAGTGCTTGCAAGGCGGAGAAAGTTAAAAAAAAAAAGAAAAAAAATTCGCGACGGCTTTCCAACCCTCCCATCTCCGCTGATTTCGCCTTCCTGTCGGCCCGCCCCTCTATCCCCCATCGCATCGTCTCCCCTCGATCCTAATCCTTCACTCCCGAGTGAAGGTTTAGGATCGAGGCGAAGTCGAAGCGAATATCGAAGCGAGTGAAGGATTACGATCGATTATATGTATATAATTAACACGTTGCTTAAAATCGTCACGACGTTTTTCCGGTACGAAAAGCATTAAAATGGCGTGACTGGGAATCGATGAATCTTGACGAAATTTTTGAACAAACGAGCAAGATACACACACACACACACACACACACACACATGTATATATACAGAATAGATTTCTGTATTTATTCAAGTTTCGTGTTATTCTATATTATGATTGGCCGGCCGAATAGCCGAAAAGAGCAGTCAATGCGTCGGCCCGTCACTCTGGTGATGATGTATTCCGGAAAGAAAATTCTGTTAATTTTTCGTTGGTAGTTTTCTCGGATACGCGGGGCTGTCCAAATCTACAACGGATATAGAAAAAAGACTCGGGGCCCACGCAATGGGTGCAATCGTGGTTTCGTTGATGGTTGGCAATTACGTCACGCAGACTTATAAAGTATGCGTAACGTAAGAGCAGAAGGCGTGACGTAATTGCTCGGGGATTTGCCTCGCCTTCTACTCTTATCCACAGTCTTTCCTTTCAGAATTCTCTGTATCGTGTCCGAATGCGTCCACGTCATTTCCGCCTTCGTGTCTTATTTAGAAGTTTTTCGTCTTCATCGATCGGACCGGACCTGGTTACGGAACAAAATGGCCGATTTATAAATAGGAATCGATAATAAGAAAAACATTTGTTTCGATATTTTCTATTTTGTTTGATAATTGAGTTATTTAAAATATTCAAAATTTTGAGCCAAGATCTAAATTTGGATTTCGAAGAAAATACTTTTAAATAGGAATACGAAACATCGGACTAATGAAAAAGTCGCCGACGGTCGTTAACGAAGACATTTTTTAAAAACCAAAGAAAATAATTTCCAAAGTTTCCTTTTTTTGTCGACAGATGGCTGTAGAATAGATTTTCTCCGTATAAGTACCCTTCGACTTTTACCCGAAACACATTACGGAAGTAATTTTAAGATGATTCGAGTCATTATTTAATTTTAAAATGCTAATGTTAGGGTTTTACTTGTTAAATATTTAAAACAATTAATTACATTCGCTATCGATCAATAATTATTATATTTATGAGTAATTCTGGATAACGAGTGATCCATTCGAACAAAATGGCTATCAAAAAGTATACATTATATTTTGTGACGTTATATTTTATACTCGATCGTCGATTGGTTCAAATCCGCGCGTGTCCATTTCTACGACCAATAATCTCACCCCGTTAAAAGTTTAAATCGAAGTTATTCATTCAAACTTTCTGTTCACCGATGAATAAATTTGGAAACTAATTAATGTTTTCGTCACAAACGACGATTCTTCTCTCTATTATATACGTAACAAATGGTTTCTGGTCGTCCCTCGGGTCGTAACGCTGTATAGTAAATTCGTGCGTCTGGCTGTATATTCGTTTATTTTTAAGCTCGAAATAGGTCAATTAAATCCCTAAGAAGGCTCCGGGTCAATCGAACGGATTTAATTTTCGTAGAATTTTTAGAATTCGAGAGAATTGTTTTTCTATTAGCCGATAATTTTTACCATTTGCCTCGTTATTTTTGAAAATTCTCCAAGCACTTTGACTCTTAGGAATCGGGTGATTTAAAAAAATCATAAAGATTTATGTCAGAGATAATTTTTTAAAATTTATTCGTGAAAATTAGTGAAAAAATTATTGATTTTTTAGCTTTTCTATCATTAACCTACTTTTTAAAATCGAAATTCCTTCGTTCGTGACAAAAACAAAGGTTAAATTTTCAGATTTTTCCGAGTTTCCATAATGAATTGTCGTTAAGGAAAGTTTTGTTTCGTTTACTGTGACGAATTTTACATTTGTTTGTTACGTCATTTTTTTTTTATTTCGCGTAATTTATTTGAATGGAATGTAACCGTATTCTTAAATGGTTAAATTTTCAATTATTTTCGTTACTTTCTGGATTTTCGGGAATGAAAAAATGAAGTTAAAACGTATGGAGATAATTCTCAATTTTTGTGTCTTTTATGTCATAATTACATACTTATTTTAAAACAATTGATATTTTAACGTTACGTTTATGTGTAATTCTTTTATATTTTAAATCCAGAATTATTTTCCTAAATTTGTTAAAACACCAGCAAATTAAGAAATGAGCTTTGTGAACTAAAAACTCTTCGTTGTAGTCGAAAGTTTCAAAGAGATTCTTCGAGGTCTTCCCGATAAAAACTAGGAATATAGAGAACGAAGGATTCGCAGGACCCTTCGACCTCTACACTGTTTCTTTTATCACCAACACCTCCGAGTAACCTCCTCCATCTTTGACTTCCTCTTCGCTCCTTAAAAAAAGGCACCGCAATTCTGACTGTTTTTATTAAGTATCAATTATCATTCGGGGGATTTTAGATCGGATTTTATTACCGAAATTTAATCAAAAATTTCCCAGTAACCAGTGATTCGTAACAGAATTGTTTATCCTTTATCCTTTGATCCTGCGCAGGATCTCCATCGCCTATGATGAATTCTGTAAGAAATTTGGATTTTCCAACCAGGCCACGACAATTTCGTTACGGTTTTTCGTCGAAAGAAAGGAAAATCGAGGAGGAAAATATTTCCTCTTTTTATAAAATCGAGTTATAAGTTCGTCTGTCCGTCACGCCGTCTATTATCAATGTTTTGTTAATGTTTAAAAAAGTTCCCCCGAAATTTGGTAGTTAAAATATGTGGTAGTACGTGACCCGAGTGTCGTCTCGTGTGGGGAAAGGTCCTACTTCCTAGAAATTTGCTACTCTCTTTAAAGTATCTTTCCAAAAAAAAGTTAAGGTGACATTTTCTCCCATTCATACGCGATATTTTTCAAAATAAAAAAAAGTTTATTTATAGTTTTTCTACAGTAAATATATACGGAAAGGAATTATTTTTATAGATAAATTAATGGTACGTAATTAATTACGGGGCCTTTAATTAATTAAATCTGTTAAATTGTGTAAGACGGACAATGCGTGTTTTGTCTGTCAGATAGAAGACGAAACGTGTTAAATTCGTGTTAATGAAGAAGTGAAAATTACGTAGATATACAGAAAATAATGTAAATAAATATGTAAAATACGCGCTTTTGAGTAACGTAAACGTGGAAAAATCGAATATTTAAAGCTTGTAGTTCAATTTGTGAATTACATAACATAAATTTAATTTTAAAAAATGAGATGTTTTCAAACAGAAAAAAATATATTTTATTTGAGAAATAAATTAAAGAGAGAAAGTAAAAATTTTTGGAGGAAAGAGAGACATAAATTGAATTTATTTCACGAGACGACAAAATTGTATTTACTCGTTTCATTTATCTTTCGATTTTTATTTTTTTCCTATAAAATAAATCAAATTTCTTGCTTTTAACTAAAGAAACATCGGTTTAAACACCGGTTTATGTTATTTTGAGGCTAAAAATAAAAAAATATTTATAAAAACGTCGGGGTAAAGCTGCCCAAAATCTGCAAAGATGCGGCTCTTTTACACTCGATTTTGTTATTAATTAAGCGGAAAGGGGCGGATAAACGTGTGATAATGACGTTACCGTTTCGAGTAACGGTAATTAACGTGTGTAAACGTTTAAATTTGCATAAACAAATTTTGTTACGTAATCGATTCGTCATCCGCTTCCACGTGACGACAAAGACGAGAGCAAAATATCACCCTGTTCTATCGAGGATGATGACTTCTGCACACTACCGTAACGCGATTTTACAGCCGTTACTGTTATATAAATACGGTTTAAGTACTTAATTTAAACGACACTTTGCCTAAACGTTAATTAAGTAATTTTTAAAAATAGAACGTATTTAACGATTATAAGTGAGTTTGTATCGACCTAACCGAAAAACACTTACGTTTGGAGACGTAAATAAAAGTAACGTCCAGATAGGAAAGTTTCAGTCGTCACGTGAGATGAATGGGGAGCGAACGTTACCCGTAGCAACGCCCTTGACTGTACGCATTCCCATTGGCCGGTCCGCTTTGACACTTACCCCCGTAGGTCTACCTTTCAGTCGGAATCTATGTAACGAGATGGACACGTCGAGTGGGACTCTTTGAAGATGTACGGGATGCTGTTAGAGAGCGTTCAACACTACGTCAGGAACGAGTACGGTGACGTGGCCTGGAGTCGGGTGTTGGAAGAAGCGGGATACAAGAACGTGGTCTTCACCACTCACCAGACCTATCCCGACAAATTGATGATTGATCTGGCATCCGCCTGTTGCCATCACATACCCATCAACGAGAAGAATGCGGCTTTCCTGCGCTTCTTCGGTAAATGTTTCGTGCGTTTCTTCAGCCATTACGGATACGATACCCTGATCAGGGCTTCGGGGCGCCATTTCCGCGATTTCTTACACGGAATCGATAATCTTCATCATCAAATACGCTTCAGCTATCCCAAGATGCAGAGCCCTTCCTTCTACGTAGAGAGCGAGAGCGTGATGGGTGTCGTACTTCACTACAGATCCAAGAGGGTGGGATTCGCCGAGTACGTCGTAGGACAATTGGTGCAGATCGCCAAGACCTTCTACGACCTGAACTTGAAAGTATCCATTCTGAGAAATGGTCCCGATAACAACGGGACGGGCTGTCACGTGGTCTACGAGTTAATTTTTGATAACTTTCCGTATCGAAAAGACCAATTAGTGAAAGAGAACTTGCAGCAACTGACGGGAATTCAGACTCTTTCCGGTTTATATCTCTTCCGTCTTTTCCCATTCGCCTTGGCATTCGACAAAACTTTGACCATTCTACAAGTGGGAGTCAAGTTGATGGAGTTGTTCGGAAGAGAAGAAATGGCAAACAAACCCGTAAAGAAGTACTTCATGATGCACAGGCCCCGAGTTCCTCTCGTTTGGGATCAGGTAAGACACTTAAAAGCTGTAATCCCTCACTTAGAACGAATCCTTTCCCAATTTGAAGTCGTAATTTTTTACTTAATTACATAAATGGCAGTTTCCGTGATGAAAAATCGTCACTCGGTTTCTAACTGGTTGTGACGTTAATTGCGTTTTTATTGTTAAGACATAATTTATTTATTTTCGTGTCCCAATCGGGACGTCATTAGGGGTGGAACCCATTTACTTGATTATTATCGAGAGGAACGTTCGATGACGCCTCTTCACTAAAGCTAAATGTCAAAAGAAAGGGGAAATCTTGTCTCAAAACAGGATGCCAAGTTACGCTTCCTCAGGAAACAAAAACGGAACAGATAAGGCTGCTGCCTGCTTAAAATTGGCATATACAGTACCTCCATACATCTATCTGTACGCCAACGAAAATCCAACCGGTCTTTATACAGAAATTACCTGTTTTTAAGAGATTTAAAATTAATTTCCAATGTCCAAATGCGTATAAATTAATATAAAAGTAAAAAATCGTAACTTTTAACCGTTGTAATTTTTAATATTTTTAAAATATGGTGTTGACGGGAAGAGGAACGGACATTTGGAGCAGAATCTACATCCTTTAATCTTTCGAAGAACAATTGAGAGTTGTCAAAGCGCTCCCCTTTCTCAAGCACTATTCACTCGTCAATCGTTTTACACGAATAAATATTAAAAATGTCGAGAGAAACACGAGTAAAGAAAAGTCCTTCGCCCGAGGATTGTCGACATCATTACATATGCTCGGTCGACAGCACCACTTAATTATAACCGAGTTGCATTTTTTTTCTATCGTCCACTTAATTTATAGATATAAATCTCCTACAAGAGTAGACAAATTTCCTACGAGTGACACGTAAATTTATCGCTTCGAAAAGTTGTAAATTTACACTTCGCACGTAAAAAATAGAGTAAAAAAGTATTTTCTGTCGAGCGGTGACTATTAACGTCCGTTATCTGGAAAATACAAGGCAATTTGTTCCCTTAACGCGCGACGATAGCGCGTAAGAGCGTCGGAAACACTTTAAAAAAGACTAGAATAATGCGGAATTAAGGGAGGGAGATTAATCCTATCTATCCTTGAACGTTTATTAAAGCATCTGGTGGGAGCACAATTCGTGTTTTGATTGAAATATTATCTGAAGAAGTCGCGATCGGACGATTCACCGAAAGCCCTCCTCCTCGAACACACTCGATTCATTTATTCTTCTTACACTAAGTTCATTATTACCCTTTCGAGCGTCTCCGAAAATTAAAATTCGCCACTCTTAACGTTCGATTTAAATTAATTTTAATAAATATTTAAATCCATACACTGACCGGATCCTAATTCGGCGGCTTTTGTTGAATTAGGAACCGAATTTGGGCTCTTTTTTCTTGCAATTTCTGAAAATTTGAGAGCCGTCTGCCAAACTTACTTGTCGATCCACGAAATTTCTGTTCGTAGCTGGAGAAAATCGGGTTTATACATTCGTAGAAGACCCCAAAATACATTTACGGTGGAAAACGTTTAAAATTTTTCGGCGCTCCGCCTACAAATAGCGCGTTATACACGAAACGAAAGAAACTTGGACGTTTTCGGAGTGTCTCATCCATCACTCGGTGCACGTAAACGGGGCTCGCGACCTCGATTTGTCCTGAAGCATTTATTACGTTAATCGAACCATCTATCATTCATTCCGGAGGGAAATTTTTCGGATCACCCCGCGATAAATAATCTTTTAGAGACTAATTGCCGGAGTAACCCAAAGAGATTTACAAACGCGATGCATTGTCTTCTTTCAGCTCTTCATCCTGCAAAAGGTAGTAGTGGAAATGGAATGCTTCAACTCCTTCTACGTCAAGTTGTTGGTTGAAGATAGGAGAAACAGTGCCTCCACCAGAAATCTCCTCCTCAAGGGTCAAATGCTTTACATTAACGAGTGGGATGCCATTATTTATCTCTGCGTGCCCTTGTAAGTATGCTCCTACTAATTAATTTAATGAATGGTGAACCGCTTTACTAATTAAGCTGAAGTTTGCCCGCTTTTCCACGGAACAAATTAAAACACTACGTAATGAAATACAGTACAGTTTGTATCGTGTTTAAAACCCGAGATTAGATTTACGGTCCTAAAGAATACCATCTACTGATGTAAGCTGTAATATGACTTCTATACGGTCGATCGGTACACCGAGAACAAAGATTTTTAGTATTAAAATAAGAAATTTCTCGCATAGACTCGAAGAATAGAAAAAATGGCGTCTACGTAGGCTCGTAGATCTTTTCCGTGTACGATTACATTGCTTAAGTTTATTTTTCTTCATAAATGGTAACAGGTTCATTCTCAATTGGTGTCCGGATAGAGGAAATGTGTAGGATTATCCACACTTTTTTATTGTCTTGCGTAACGTCTTTCGTATTCAATGTCAGATGCGATACCGCACTCGTTACGTTCGATTTGGTTTGGTTAAAAAACACGACTGCGGGAGTGGCATGCGATTATTACGTAGCTCAGTTTCGTACTTGCGGGAGAGTCTACCCGAAGGGGTTGGGATGTAATTCTCAAGTAGTTAAAATTAAGAAATTTCGGATAGGATTTGAACCAGGATCACGTCTACACATAAAAACTGATGCCCCGTACAAGTTCGGATTCTTAGAAGGTTTGATACGCCCCTTCAGAATGTTGGGTGTTAAACCGATCTGTTAACTCTATTATTGATGACAACGGTAGAATTTTAAAAATGTCTAGGCTTAACGACCGTTAGAAATAGAAATAATAAAAGTAGCTGACGTAACACCGGACGTTTGATTTAATGACGTTAACCTTCTACGTCGCTTACAATTAAACACCGGCGACGACAAATAGAAAAACTAAAAGGAATTTTTGTGACTTTTACAGATTGAGCGGTCTTCAAGAGATGCAAGAAGTGGGCCTTTATTTAACCGATTTGTGCATTCACGACAGAAGCAGGGAAATCGTCTTGGCGGGATGGCAACACGGCGCACGTTTGGAAGTGTCTTACGAAAAGGTAAATTCTATTGTGGAACGGCGCTCGAATAAATTCCGTTTTCGGTGGGAGGGGACGGAAAGCGCCTGTCGTATGTCATCGTATATCCAGCGTGTCAGCTGATCAATGGAGCTAATATTAGATGTCGTCACGTGTCCCATTGTCCTTGTTGTCGATTGCCATGTGGTCACACAGAATTTTCGCTTCTCGAATCCCGCGAACCTTTTTTTTTTTGGTCTTCTTTTTTGACAAACGAAGGACAAAAGAGTTTTATATCCGCTACAAAAAATTGAAAAAGGAAAAGATTTTTTTACCAGATTTGTCGTAACAATTTACAATCAACACGAAGCGACTGTTTCGTTTTCGCCTTTGAAATGGGAAATTTGTTTGTTTATGCCCTTTGCTTCATTTTCTATACTTTTTCTTGTTTAAGTCGCGTCTGGTCGTTTCGTGTCGCTTGATCTGGCGCGCGCCGTCGAATTAAAATTTTTTGACGTTTGTAGATGCGGCTGATATAAATATATATCATCTACGAACGGTTACGCCCTAATTTTAACCGTTTTAAATTAAATTATGACGCGTCAAGTAGAGTTCAAGACGTATTATTTTCAGATTTCCAGAAAAGTTAACGTACGTAAGAACGTGACGTAATCGGTCGTTATTCCACGAAGAATAGGTGTCGAGAATTAAGCGTGATGGACAGACGAATCTTTCAAACATCTCTACGAAGATATTGATTTATCTTAATTTCGATAAGACAATGAAAATTGTTTAATAGTCTATAAGTTTTGAATTTTGGGTTTAATTATTGCAGCAAGAACAACGAAGCAAGAAATTGGAACAAAATCTTCAGATGCTGGACGAGTGGAAACAGAAAGGAGACGATTTACTCTATTCTATGATCCCCAAAGCTGTAGCGGAACGTCTTAGAAACGGTGTCGACCCCATCAACACCTGCGAGGTGAGCATTTTCCTAATAGTTTTTTTAAGTTATCTTTCGTAGAAATATCTACCTTCTAAGAAGGGATGATGAACATTTTTTTAGAGGATAAATCCTCAGCATCCCTTAAAATCAAAGAGTTTTGGTTTCTGAGAAACAAAGTTTAAATAGAGAAATACACAATTATAAGGATTGAGCGGTGGGATCTTAAGATTAATTTATGAAAAACGAAAATAAAAATTGAAACATAAGACGAAATGAAATGTCACCGATATCCGCTTTATTATTTCATTTTTTTTCTTTTATCCGCCCGCTTATAATGTCCTCATTAAGAATTAATTATGCACAAATGTCGGGAAGGTCGACCTAAATGCAAATGTCTGACTCTCTTATCTTTCGTCTACCGAGTTTTTCTTCAAATTCTCGTTAAGTTCGTTCTCACCGAGATTAAAGTCGGCGCCCATAGGTCGATGCGGTCGAGCCGACAGAGCCACTTCCGGTTTATCGATCCGACGTCATTTCCGAAAAGAGGATTAGAACCGATGCCGCGAAGTGACGTCGCCTTTTTCGTCACTATCGGATTTTTTAAGGAGCGTTATTACGCAAACGGAAGCGTGTAAACCCATTCTCATGCGAAAGACGATGCTAAAATATCGAGTTTTTTTTATTTCTTAAAAGGGAATTTTTTTCAAGTTTTGTTTCTCTCGTTTCGTTGGCGCAGTAAGCTTAACCGGTAGCAACTACTATATCGGGGTTTGTCGGTGCGAGAGAAGCGTCAGGGAGGAAATGTAGAGAGGAAAGTCGGAAGGAGGATATTAGATGGAGGTGAAAATGGATCCTCAATACAGGAAATGAATCTAGACAATCTACTGTCTCATTTTCTACGATTTCGCTCATTGTTTCTATTAAGAAGACCATTACGATGAAGAAAACACCAAAAATCATAAGAGTGTTTTCGAATTTTCTTAAAGAAACGACATTTTCTTAAGTTTTAATTAACAAATTTGCGTCATTAAAACATTTTGACGGTCGAGTTTCAATTTTTAATTACAAATCGAACTGAACGAATGATAGCCAATTAGCACTCGCTAATTTGAATTCGACGTTAATGATCGCCGATTGGTTAATATTGCCGAGAGACATCTGACGAATTTTTTTGAAACTAAAGATTTGTATATTTTTCACAATCATTTTATATTTTAGAATTTATACATTGTACATGTACAGTACATCTGTACTATAATTTGTTTATATTATTTTACTCGTAAAATTAGACTGCGCCATCTAATGAAGATAATCGAAATTAATCACTATTTTATCAAAATGATATTTTACGTAAAGAAATTAAAATGAGCGCCGATAATAGCGCCCTCTGGTAATTGGTATATACACAAATGACTGCAAATGCCATTAAAAGGAAGTTGGATTCTTAAAATTTCAAAATTGAGGGAAAATTTATTTTAAGTTTAATAATAATTGTTTCGATTTTTTTTTAACTTTTACATTAGATATTCGGAGATTCATGAAACATCGAAGCAGGTGATGACCAATAAAAATTCCCGAGGGCGAGCGGGGAGTCTGATTTCGCCATTAGTAGTGTTATTGTAAGTGTTGTCTGTCCTAATTGGAGGAAAGGAATTTTAATTAAGTAAACAGGCCTCTTACATCACGGGTTCGGGGCGTGTTTGACACTACGTTGTCACACGTGCACATTTTTCACGTTTATAGACAACTCCACGAGGGAGGATCGTGTATTTGCTTATTTTTACACGTGGACGAAAAATAATTGATTTAAGAAGGAAATTTCACTATTAGTAATAAAATTAGAACACAAACGTATAAAATTTGTGCATTATTTTTTGCTTAGTTTCACACTTTGGTGATGCGCTCGGCAATGAAGCTTAAAGATTATTTCTGAATTTTTCTGATAATATATTTGGAATAACCCTGATTAAATAAGAAAAATGAGGATTGAAATTTAAGAAAATATCATTTAAATTTTTTTTTAAATAATGGTAAAACGTAAACTCCACACATCAGTGTAACTTTTAGATTCTTTCAATAAACATAACCATACTAACACAGTGTTGTAATAAATGAATATGTTTGAATTAATTTAAGAAGGTAATGTGGATGGAGGTCAAAGCTAGGAATATGTTAATTTAATTTTCATTTATGTCCAAATCTCATTATATCCGAACGAGGAATTTTTCTGCACAGTTGGCTTCGTCTTGTTTTCAGATGCTAATTTAGGAAATAATTCACGAGATAACGATGGAAAATTCTATTGTTTTTTATATTTTGCATTCCTTTTCGTTATTATATGTATGGCATTCGACATCTTCGTGTATAGGAAACGAAATTCTTGATACAGAATCATTGAAAATTGTATGAGAAAATGAGGGGTTATATAAACACGTGGCGGATATCCTTAAGGATATTTTATTTTTAAAGTTTAAATATTAAAAATAAGCTGTTTCAGTTAGTAAATATACAGACGACCCGTTAAGTAAATAAATAAGTTGGAGTTACAATTTGTTTTCTTAACACAAATCAAAATTTCATTTTGTGTTAATTTTCTTCTTAACAAAAAATAAAATAAAATAAGGAAATTTCATAAAATTTTGATGTATTCGGACATCTTTTAGTAAAGATATAATGTATAAAAATATTAATTCGTATTTATAGGCTAAATAAATAACTCGAGACGTAAAGTGTATTTATCTTCGAGAGGGTTCGAATACGTCTTTCGTTACTATATAGGAACAGCATAGAGCGCTTTAGTGATTTATAGTAAAGCTCAGTCACACGCGTAACGTTAAAGCGCCAACTTTGACCCCGAATATCTTCACCACCGATGAACAGATTTGGACGAAATTTAAAATAATTAATGAATACGACCAGTACTAGGAACGTGTAAAATTTTGAGTAAATTCGTTGGATCATTTCGGACTTGCGTTTCATTACAACTAGAGAGAATGGCCTCATCGAGCTACCGAACACTTCAGACGAGTCTGTGTTTAATAGCTAGTTCGATAGTTCGAGAGCCGATTACCTCCCATTTGCCCCTTTGAAGGTTTTATTTAAAAACGTCGAGTATTTATAAAACCATAACCCACTTTTACAATTTTAACATATGAGCAATCGGTTATCAAGTGAGTATAGAATTATCAAGAAAACTATTCTATTGACGTTATCGATGATTGAAAAATACTTGAAATCTCGTAAAAATTTGGTGGAACCAGATCGAAAACATCAAAGAAACTTTCGAAAGCTGTGGCATAAGAATACCGGAAGCTTTGGACGAAGCATTGTCGCCACGGTAATAAATCGGGAAAACGAGCGTCGTCACAGGAAAAGGCTTCGAGCTATACTTTGTGCCTTAAACTCATTAGTGAGGGAACTTTAACTCGATGAAATGTTTAACCCCGAAAGTCTATTCAAACATTCTAAATATCGATGTAACAGATTACTTTTCAGTCTGTTATACGGAAATCTCATTCTATATTCTTGCCCGAACGTTAGTAATTCGCTTTCAAAGATTTGATTACAGATCTTTTGATTAGTGATAAAAATTTTCGTATCGAAACGAGAATTTCCTTCTTTCTTACAAAATTCTTGACGTAAAAACATTCTTGCTTCTTGGATTTTTCTGAAGCATCTTTCGGCGATACCGATCTAACAAATAGCTTTTCTTATCGATCGTCTGCATCAAATTCCACTTGTTTCTTCCTTCCTAAGAAGAATTCTTCTCTTGTAAATTTACATATCCCTTTAGGAAGCCATTTACATTTTTATAATTCATAAAATTCGTAGTGTTATTGGCAATTACGTGGCAGTAGAGCGTAATAACGGCGTAGAATATAATCCGTAAAAGGCTAACCCGAATAAGTATATAACTGACGGATGAAAAGTTTCATTTATTCTTAAATTAGATCTATTTGCCGAGTTGTTTATCTCCTCGATACAAATTTAAAACGTTCTTTTTTTTCCAAAGAGATTCGGAGATTTATTTATATTTAACTGTTTATTCTTATTAGATAATATATGGAGGAGCACAAAACCGATTATTATGCATTTATCAATAGCGCACCTTTAGATTTTGCCGCTTGTTTATTTAAAATTTTCTAACGATTCTCCTCTTCTCCGCTCCGAGAGGTGACTTTTTATAACTCAATTAACTCGTTAGTTACCGAAATAAAGCTTTATATACGAGATGAGTCAGCATTGGACAGATAGAATTTATCTGAAATTCTATTATTAGACTCTTCCGCCATTCTTTTTTCAAACTATTTAACCTCGTTAATTGTGGTTTTTGTGGAATGGAGCTAAGTGCAGTTGTTAGGTTTATTTTTTGTCTACTTAGTTTTTATGTAAATGAAGAGACAAACGTCCTTGGACGAGTGAGAAAAAAGTGGAAGGAATAAATATAAGGAAGGAGAGCAATTTTTCTTGATTTGGCGCCTGGAAACCCGATAGAAAAACACTTAATCGTAGTGTGTAATAAAAGACCTTGGCCGAAAAAACGTCGACGGAAGCTCGTCTTTATCGCTAAAAGTATTTGTTAAAAAGGACTAAATCCTTTATCGAATTTTTTACGCCATTTTTGAGTAATTAATTATAATAATGGCCAAGAAACAAACGCTCGTATCTAAATGGATATTTTAAAAATAAAAATAAAATATCATTTATGGAAGCTTTACAAAATTTTAAAAATACTTTTTTTGGATACGTACGAATTTTTATACTAGATAATAATTTTTGGCCAGAAAATACATCTTTACATACCGCATTCTTCGTCACGATCGTAGTTCCATTTAAATATTTACTTTACCCGCGAGTAGTACGTAGTTCTAACACCCGAAAAGTCGATATTTTGCGCATCTCGGTTTAATATTATGCTGAAATGATATGAATAAATTAATAAAAACGTTATATATAAAAGTTAGGTAAATGTATTATTTTTCAAGAAAATGGCATCTCGAACGAGCGGGATCTCATTTTTTAATAACTTTCGCTAAATTTGTAAGCAATAAAATATTTGAATTATACGGTAATTTAACGTTTGCGATGATTAATTGACTTTTGGGCCACCCTCTGTTTTATTCGGAGAAGATGCGTGGAAGGAAATAAGTTCTATTCTGTCTAAATGCTACTTTTACATAAATTAATTATTGCAGTGAAGTCAACCTCCATTAACAATTCTCTCCGACATCTTATTGCCAGATGCAAACATTTCTCGGAGTAATGTGTTTACCCACTTTCTAGATCTCATTATCTACATTTTTGCCTTTTTTTCACCCTTAAAACAGTAAATGCAATGCAAATTCGCTTGAAAAGTACATCGAATGACCTTAAATTTATTGTAAAAAATGATTCATGTTTTGTAGAACATTTTTTAAAGTTAATAATTTTAAATTGGAAATATTAAATCAAAGTAAGTTTTTAATGGATTAATTTACTGATTTTTACCAAGTTTTAAGTTGTTTTATTTGTTTTCTTCTGTGATGGAAGAAGAGCGCGAGAATTATTCTTTCACTTGTCGAAGTAAAGACATTCATACACATATTTTCGATTATTTTACTTATTTCTACAGCAAATTCTACGATAAAATGTGTCTATACCGATATTTTTGCTGTTTTTTTCTTAGTCATTCGACGAAGTGACAGTTTTATTTAGCGAAGTCGTTGATTTTGGTGATTTGTGCGCCCAACTTACGGCAATGCAAGCGGTTCAATGCGTCAACGACGTTTACACCCTGTGCGATCGAGTGATCGATCATCATCTTGTATATAAGGTAAAAACTAAAAGATTGCTCAAATATACGCCCAAATTTTCTAGAATATTTAAATAAAACACTTCTTTCAGGTAGAAACGGTAGGTCAAGTGTACATGTTAGTCAGTGGTGCGCCCGAGAGGAGGCCCGATCACGCTCAGAATGTTGCTGGAGCGGCTCTGAGTATATTACGAGAAGTAGAGAAGATGGAAGGCAGATACGGAGAGCAGAAAGTTATGGTGAGGATAGGTACGTACCGTTTTAAAACATTTGCAAAATAAAACTTTGTAGCGCCTACAAGTTTCTTCGATATCTATTATAGGGATGCATACCGGACCCGTTGCAGCCGGAGTAGTGGGAAGGAAGATGTTGAGATATTGTTTATTTGGCGACACCGTGAATACCGCTGCCAGAATGCAAAGTCACGGAAAGGTAGGCGAACATTTTGCAGAATTGGAGTAATTGGAAATTAATTTTCACATATAAATTGTGTTTAGGCGGGGAAAATACATATCAGCGAACCCTGTCAGAAGCAGTTGGTAGGAAGTGCGTATGAATGGGAATTTAGAGGCACCATCGACGTTAAGGTAAGTTTGGCACAAATTGATTAATTAATTAGCGTCGGGCGCCGATTCAAGACCATTACGGAAGACGATGGGGTCTATTAACGCGGATAAGCTCCGATCCTCGCTACTCGCCACGAATGGTGCGATCGAATTCGCCACGATCGAATTCGAATCCGGATCCACGCCACGGATGGCTAACGTCTCGTCGCGCCGCCATTTCGCCGAATTTGCATAAATTATGATTATAAAAAGTTGCGTAATAACAAATGTAACGTTTTACAGGGGAAAGGAAAAATGAATACTTATTGGTTAGTCGGATTGCAAGCAGACGGAGAAAGTGTTACGAGTTGAACGGAAAGGCCTATATTTCTTCGTCGTCTTAAAAAATTATTTTATTAACGATGTCTATGTAAATAAAATAAATATATTTATATAAATCTCATTGTTAACTATAAAACGAATAAAAGAAAAAAAAATTAAATTAATGCAAAACTCGTGCCATAAATGTACGTCAACAAACGAAACTTGCGCAGTGTTTTAACCATTAAAAATATTTTATACGCTTCTTTAATGCCATCTGGTGATTGTTGTAATAAACTAAGTTACGTCTCGGCCGCTGCGATTGGCATTTGTATCGTCGTGGAAGTGTTGCCAACTTGTGCTTTTTAAATTACGCGCATTTGTCAATATCCGAAATAAAGTTTTGTGAATAAAATATTATTATTATTTCCATTGTTTACAATAAATTGCATAAATCAACATTGGATTTTAAAAAATGTTTGCGAGCGAAATTCTCTTAAAATTGTACAGTATTTTTACGCGAAATAAAAATTTTAGTTCGATTTTATGAACTTTTTAAATTGTAAAACATTATTAAAACTGCCGAAAGTAGACGAGTGTAGAGTTAAAACAGCGCCATTCGACCCACGGTTCCGACGGCAATTGCAAAATATTACACAACCCACGAATATAATTTGCAATAAATACAAAATTGTACATAGATATTAATGACCATAAAAATAATTTTAATGTAACGTTTGTAAGACGAATCCATTCGATTGGATTATAACGAATAGTAAACCGATAAACGAATATTTATTAATACATATTAAATGATTTTGATGAAAAATTTTAACGTTTCCGTCCCGAAAAGTAATTAAATAAGACAGAAGACGGAAACATTAATGGAGAAATTAAGTGGTATTTTAGAAGTCAGACGATGGGAATTTTCGATGAGCACCACCAAGCGGGAAGAAAGAACATTAGTAAAACTTGTGGCCGACGACATTTGCAATATGGAGGTTGGCGGAAAACGAAAGTTTCGAAAAACGAAGAAGGTAAGTCATTCATTTATCGGTTTATTAAATTATTTCCTTAATAAACATCCACCGGAACCAAACGGCAACTCGAATTATCGGTTTAACGGGCGACGTTCTTCGAACGGATAGGTATTGCATTAATGAAGTTTTATTCGAATAAATCCGAGGTAAAAAGTAGGGAAGACACTTTTTAGGCAGAAAGAGCCGAAACAAAGCGAAAAAGTGCGGATTTAGATTCCATTGTCGGCGCCATTTTGTTATCTAAAATGCGCAGTTTGTCAAGCGTACCCCGTCATAAACGTATTAAAACGTCTTTCTGGCAATTATATAATGTATAAATACGTAATGTTTCGGAGAACTGACGGTTCCTTTCTATAAATCGGACGAAAAACTCGCACCGTCGAAACACTTCTTCGTATTGGCAATTAAAATTTCAACCAGCGAATTTCCAGCCGTAAACTCCGACGCATTCTGTTGGAAATCGACCTTTCCGGATTATAAACGGAAAAGATGCCGGAAGTTGCCGCTCGAATTTTCCTTCCGAGAGTTACCGGACTGGAATGAAAACAAAAAATCTTCGAACTGCGGTGATTAAGTACGAGCCGAAAACCATTCGAATCGTATATTTTTCGTGACGGGTTCTCGCCTGCCAACTACCGAAAAAGCGGAACGTATTTTTTTTATTCTGTTTTGCGGGTTTAAACTAATGTCGCATCGAGGTACGAGAGGTTATATCTTAATTTCCAGATTTTTATCGAGTTCCGAATTTTGTGATTTTTGTATATAAAAGATTTGAAGAATATATGAACGATTTGTTTAACTGTCATAGAACAAATCATTGATATAATCTTTAAATGTTTATTCGGCTATGTTACCAGCTTTTGCATTATTGTTTTGGAATTTAAACGCTATTTTATTTATTTTTTAAATAGAAGAGTGATAAATATCTCTTTAAATTATTAAAACTAAAAAGAAAACGGTATCGAAAACGAGATGTTTTCAGAAATATAATTTGAGTAGGCGCAATATCATCTACTCTTTAAATTTTAATAATTCCTGTACAGTACTACTTGTCGAAAATTTCTGGAATATGGTAGGGAAGTTTGTTTAGTAGGGAAATTGATGCTATTAAATTTTGGTGATTTAATTAAAAGTCGAGATGAGAAGATAGGGCGGTCGTGTGTATCTCCAGTAGGGTCGGACTCGATGTGATTTTACACTTTTTAAAAATAAAACCCTTCCCTACCTCGAAAATTAAGAATTTTGCCATTTTATAATAATTACAAATGTAAAAGTTTTTAATAATAGAATATTGTAACAGATGGCGCCACACAGCAGTTTTAAATGTTGCCGGGAAAGCTAAGTGACTCGTTGCTGAATTTTTTTCTTTCCTACGGACGTTAGAGAAACTTTTTGTCAAATCTTTCCGAGTTCGACTACACTTAAAATAGGGAAAACACGGGTGGTGATAGATAGGAATTGACATATAGGAATCGAGTTTCTCGAGAAAGTTCCATTTTGATGTATTTCGATTGTATCATTTGTAGACCCGCTGTGACGCGTGATATCGAATGTTGGGCAATAAAACGAACGGAGAAGGCGGAATGCTAAAATAGACGCGAAGGTCCAAACTCAAACGCAACGAAGGACTAGTCAAACAGACGTTTGGATATTTTTAATTTAAAACCCTAAAATATCTTATTGTTATATTATCTTATATTCTTGAATCAAAACCGACTTTGCGTCACAACTATTTCCAACTTAAATTCTATGCAAATTATAAATTCAATTTGCTTAGTTCGAAATTCGTATCGCTGCCGTAATTATTAATATTTATGTCCAATTGTACACAGTATCACAAATGTTTCCCCATTTGTTGTTTTATGATAATTTTTTCGCTTATCATTTTAACGTTAATTAACTGCCTAACTCTCACGTTTCCGTGTTAAATTTGCATTTATTAATGTGTGCTTGTAATTTAATTTTTTTTAACACTTGGAATTGCTAATTAGTGTAGAAAATCCATACGATACGTAAATCTTTTTCGTATTTCGAACTACGTCGCTAGTTCTTCTCTTTCTTAACTTTCCTGGATTATCTCTATTCCCGTTTAAAAATTGGAAGATAACATAAAATAGAGGATAATATGAAAATACAAAAGATTTTTCTGTTTCCACTCTTTTTAGACAGTTTTAAATCTCCGATAACAGCCTTCCGACCATCTCCGGAAAGATGGCTTGGCGTACGAGCGTCGAACAGGAAGTGTTCTTCACCGATTTATGTAGATCGATCGATCTTTTTGTATTAAAAATTTGCATATTATAATAATTTAGCGTATTCGTTCGATGCTTTTGAATGAACGTGCGACGAGAACAACGTCCTCATTTACAAAAAGGTTCATCCGTATTTTTTAAATTTGGAAAAACGAGATCTCGTTTCCGAACTGATAGTCCGAAAATTGAAACAAAATATGCTGTAAATGGTAAAATGTCGTACAATTAACAAAGGATACGAGGACAGGGTCAATTTAATTGGGTCATCCCGTATAAATAATTTTGAAAAAATCACTTTATCAAAGTTTACATCGAAATAAACTGTGTCACGTCAAATATGCAATTTAACTCGAGAATCATTTTTTTGCAGCTTCTTTTTACACGATTTTTTCATCGCCAGAAGCGATAATGCCGCTATTAAGTCGCAGTCGATTCCCATCTAGAATAAAAAAATTGATACACAGAATACATTCTTTAATTTTAAACGCGTTTGAGAGGAATTCCATTGGAGTAGATCTTCGGAATCAAAATTTACGAATAAGTCTTGATCCGAACGAAAAAATAAAAAAAATTCGAGGAAGATGAATTCGGTACGAATTAACAACCGACTAACGAAAATTCCTCAAAATATTTACAATTATTTAAAAAACCGAGAATTTCGATACAGAGTAATCTTTAATGTTCACATTGGATTTTGTAATGACGTTTTTCCAGTTCTTTTCGTAACGAGAAGGACTTGTAGTATTTTATAAGCGATGGAAATAATTTAATTTTAGTAAATAATGTACAAAATATTTGCGGCCTATTTACCTACGACCTTATTCGCAATCTTATGGCACGAGTTACGGGTAAACGCGAAAAGAAAATAAGGAAATTATAAAATTTAAATTTACAAATCAATAAGGATAAAATCAAATTGAAGCATCTATTCATTTTATAGAATTACATTACTGTATAGCGTTTATAGGAGAATAATCTGATTAAACGAAAGTTATGAAATGAAACAAATATTCCTCTAATTGACCAGCGAACGAATAACGAGAAAATGTGGCAAAGATTGCGGGTGAAAATAAACGATTAATTAGATTAACAACACATAATTCCGCCATTTATTAATACACTAGAAATGACAACTGGCGATAATTGATACAGATTAATTGTACGAATTTCATTAGCCTAAGCACTAGAGATGAAAGAATTAATACGCTATGGCAATTTGTCCCATCGACAGACTTACTCGTAATAAATATCTAATTTATTGTACGTTACGCACGCGGCAATTATTCATTAAGCGTTGGCTAGAATAATATAGCGCCCGCTTTAATCGCAATAAAATGATAAAACGTCATTTCTGATCTTAAACAGAAATGCTTTCTTTGTAATCTTTTTCACGTTGTACAATTGACTGGAAAGTCTAATTATAGTTTCGATCGTCACCGATGAAATTTCTGGAGTTAATAATATCCACTCTCTTCGAATTTTTTGTTATTCGTTGGGGAGAGAGTCCGCTTATTTTAAAGCATAGGCTTCTCAAACGTTAATAACGTTCTCAAAATAAAACAGAAAAAATTTCGTTTTAAGAAATAAATTCGCGAAATTTGGATTGTCAATACGGTAATTTACGCGATTATCTTAACATTTTGTAGTGGAAATACACAAATCATTACAATCTCCATAAATCTGCCATTTCTTTTTTTACGTCGTTTCTACTTTGTAGCCGTAACCGTAACTCTTCCCGCTAATTGGCAATCGAGTGTTATATTACACCGCGACCTCGAACACTAGTTATTTGCCGTTATTCTCCCGGAGATACACTTAGATGAAGCAGAGTCGGCCTTGTGATGGTAGAAATAACACAAATAGTCGAGATGTATCGTTCGAAATTACCTTTAATACGTTTCATAAAATCTACGCAACATTGCTCAAAATTAAAACTTTGAAATTTTATTTTTATTTCGTAATCGTATGTCATTACGATTGTTAGTAAGAATGTTACGTTATTAAGTAATAATCTAAAATTTTCATTAGTGTAGTAACTTGTTCGACAAAATGCATTTGTTCAATCTGTTCTGAGATTGCCGAGTGATTTCTTTCTGAAAATGTTTGATACCAACAAAATTACGGAAGTCGATTTTTGTACTACGTTCGTAACGGATCTGTGTGTATTTTAAGAAAAATAATATAAATTTTT